CTGATAGAACAAAGAGAAATCCAGATAGTTTGCTAGTGGACATGCTTGCTATGATGGGAAAAGTAAAGGTACCAACTGAATTTGTGGTGCTAGAATTGGAAGGTGAGATAAAAAAAAAACCTAATCATCTTGGATAGACCATTCTTAACTTCAGCTGGAACAGTGTTTGATGTGAAGAAGGGCCTGATTGAGTTAAGGCTAACTGATAATGAAGTGCTCAAGTTTGATACAAGCCTACTCATTTGAGGTTGAAGCAGAGCAAGAAGGAGCTAATAATTGACCTCTCATCAATAAATATGATGGGATAGGCTTTGATGGATGTTGCCTTCCTATACTGTTTGAAGAGCCACAACCTACACTGAAGGAGGAAGCACTCAAGGAGATCCCAAAAGAAGCCAAATGGAATGGGTCCAAGCTGAATCTACTCTCTTAAGGCTTGAGCTTGCAGGTGCTAGACTCAACTGATGAAGGAGTGGTGTACAGGGTCAAGTGTAAGGGCAAATCACAACCCTTTGCACTTTTCAAGACAATCAACTCCATCACAATCAACTCCATCAAGGGCCTCCATGGGGATAATAAAAATTCAGCAAAAGCACACTCTGCCCACCTGAAAGAGCACCTCCCACCATCAACAACTACTACTCTTCCACAAGAACCAACAAGGATTTCTCAAACACGCCCTTTCCCCCACCAGAAGAATGGGGTAAAATATCAAACTAATAGATATTAAACAAGCACACTTTAGAGGTATTCTCATGTTATCATTGAATATATTTGCTGTTGCTTTTAATTTTTCTGTTTTTAGTGTTGTGTGTTTCAGGTTTGCTAAGTAGATAGTCAAGAAGGAAGAAGATGAGCAAAGGAAAAAGTTCTAGCAGTTTGTATCGAGGTCAATATCGGACAACTGTCTGATATTACAGTCATACCGGGGTCCATATCGAGCATCAAGCCGTTATTGAAGAACCAGCAAAAACATGCATTCTGATGCTATCAGATATTGGCCGTTTGTATCAGGCAAACACCCGATATCTGACATGAAAAAACTCACAGCAATGTCCCAAATCGGGGTGTTGTCCGATACGAACCCAGAACCCATGTAAGTCAACGCTTTCTTACTTGCGTTGACCCGAGCCTTTACCCCTTTAAAACTATATTCTACCCCGATACAGCTCTTCTCTTATCTCCCTAAATTGCCTCCAAGCATAACTCCCTCATCTCTCACTCAAATTTCTTGATTCAAAGCTCCACAAACTCGGTTCAACGCAAGCCATCTTGTTTTTTACTCGTTTTCAAGCTTCCATCCATCAATCATCCAAGGTAGTACTATGAAATCTTGAATTTCCTTCACCATCTCCAAATGTGGAATTTTGAGAAAAAACTTGGTAGAATAGTGGAATTGGAAGAGAAAACATTGAGTTTTTATTGTTATAATGATTTTGTGATAGTTAGGATTGCTAGCAAACCTTATTTGTGATTAGTTATGAAATTTTTGGGAATTTTTGTGCATGAACACTTTTTGAGTGAAAAATTACAATTAATCTCTTGAAACTTATTTTAATGCTTCCAATTACATTAAGTTGCTATCACCTTGCTTGAACAAGAATGTTTGTAAATTTTGTCTTTGAATCACTTTCAAAATTTGGAAATTTTTGCTAAGTATTGAGAAATGATTTGAGTTTTTGTGCTTTCATGCTATTGCTGTTTGCCTAACACATTTGTTTATTAGTTAATAAATGCCTCATATACAACTTATAAGCTTGATTTAAAGAAGTTTTCATTATGCTTATAGTTGTGTAAGTGTTTCTCTTTTGTAGAAATAGGAAAATCTAAAGCTGAACAAGCCAAAGAGAGAGCTGAGCGAGCTGCAAGGGCTGAAAGAGCTAGAGGGAAATACCCAGTGCTACAGGATAGTGAGTTTAGCTCTGATGAGCAACTTGAAAGGAGAAGCAAGAGGGGAAACGATCGTGTAATGATCCTGCATCTTGAACCCGTAGAACTGGAGCTGTGCATGAACGTGATTCGGCAGTAATCTTGGCATGTACAACTGTTCCAATAGCGTCCACGCTGCAGCTGCTGTTTCACACCATTCGATCTTTCTCAGCACCTGATCCGTCACGCTAAGGAAGATCATGTGTAACGCCCTTTCGCATCTTTCGGCTCTGAGTGGATCTTGCTCAACTTTCACCTTCACTGGATCTTGTGTTACTCCTGATGATGTTGGAGTAACGCCGGTGGGACTAGGAGCCGTCGACGTCGGAATCGTCGCTGTCGGGATTGTAACTGTAGCCGCCGGTTGAACTACCAGAGATCCGCTCGAAGACGCTCCCCCTCCGATGTCAATGAGGACATCCTTCAAATCTGATATGCTCAGATGAGCATACATCCTTCGTCTCCACATCGAGAAGTCGCCGTTGCCATCGAACTTCTCGATTCCCGTCAAAGTCGACTTATTGAATCGATCTTCTTTAATCGCTCGCTCGCGATCTGTCGCAACCTCAAACTCGGAGCTCTGATACCACTTTGTACGATTCTTCGACTGTTTCCAACTTTGATTGTGCAAAGAAAGTAAACGAGACACCGAGATTTAACGAGTTCGGGACCGAATGGTTCCCTACGTTTCGCCGGAGGAACTTCTCCGGAATCCACTAACACCAGCTCTAAACTCGAGCTCCGATCAAAATTTCTGATTACAATCTCTCTCGCTATCTCTCTCTCTCGAAAGATCTAGAACAACAAAGAAGAAGAAAGGCGAAAAGGCTTTATATCTCAACCATTTACAACAACCCTTCTCACGTGCAAAATAACACCCGTGTGCAGCTCGGTTAACTGAACCAACACCCAAACTAATCTATCTTCCCGGTTATCCTGATTTGAGATTGAACCTGAGTTGGTTAAGAAAACAAAACCTTCAGTTCTTTATAAACATTTATGATCTTTGGTGTGTAATAATCATTGATCAAAATTTAATACGTTTTGGTGCGTTATATCCATCTTTCAGCTCGTCTTAATATGTCAAATCTAAAGAATTCAAGTTGATATAAATTAGAAGCTATCAGACAATCCATTTCTTATCTTTTTTGAAATTTATTCATTGCTTCGTAGTTCTAAAAAATTTCTAATCAATCATTTGTCAACTGAAAAGTCACAATTTCCCCCCCCCCCCCTCCAAAAAAAAAAAAAATACTAAATCATATTAAAACACACTTATACATTCGATATTCATCTACCTTCTTTTCATTTCTTCACCTTCTCATCAATCACCTTTAATTTCTTCAACTTCTATCATTTTTATCTATTCATAATTACATAAATTTTGTCTCTTTCTATGTTTTTCTCTCCTTTTGAACATAATCTCCTCCTTTCAAGCTATCCTTCAACAACAATTAGGCAATTAGTACCGAAGATGTACAAACCATCTTTGTATTGCTTTCTTATTAATGGACACGTGCTTCAAAAGAAGAAGAAATCAAAAAAGCTTTCGCAAATTCATAATTTGACTTTATTAGTGTTGAAAATACAAATAAGACAAAACAGTTTCATTTTCTTAGTGGCCCCTCAAAATTAATTACATTCAACTTGTAGATTGGCGATCCAGTCTGGATAATAAATACATGCATACATAGATAACGTTGCGGGTTGAGCATTGTAGAACTAGCGGATCAGCTGGTCCAAGTGGATCAACTGCGGATCAAATAAATTAAGTGGTGCAGAATCAAGTGAATCAAAATATGGTTGAATGGAAAAAGCGGATATAAAATGGTCCAAAATACTGTATATATAATAATTAATAATAGTAATAAAATTATGTAATTAAAATATTATTTTTATATTTTTAAAATTAAAAATATTAAATTAAATAATTTTATAAATATAATCAATAAATAAAACAATAGTTTTTAATGTATAGTATAGAGAGATAAAATGTACGTAAATAAAATATCAAATTTCTGTATATTGTTTTGAACTTTGAATTTGTGTAATTTAATACCTTAAGTAAATTAAATGAAACCTTATTATGAATAAAATTAAACATTTTTAAATACTTTATGTGACTAAAACAGTATTACAATTAAAATTCTTATATATTTTTTATAAAAAGAAAATCAAACTAAAAAATAAAAACAATAGAAACAAAAGAAACAATAGAAACGCAGTAGAAATACTCCATATTTGCTGAATAGTTATTGTAGATAGAGGTTTTTATTTTCATTCACACATTTGAACTGCAAATGGTTCATCAATTTTTATTATTATAATAAAACAGTTAGTTCATAATTGAGATAAAATGCTGAATGGCAACACAAAGACAGATCATCTGCTTTGCTTTAATCGCCCGCTTTGTATATGCTCTCCATTTATAGTCTTTATAGTCAAATAAAATCAGAAAATACATATTTCAAATAATATCTTAATTTTGAGTTCTTAATATTATGAAAGAGAAATATTGGAAATTAAATTTATTGAAGTTGTCGCAAATCGCATCAACAATTATTCTTAATATTTTTGGATTAAATCAAATACATAAAAACTCTGATATTTCTGAGTGTTTATTATTTCAATTACATATATTCAGAATAATAAACTCTGATATATATCAATAACAGAAGTTGAGAAATACCTTCAGAATAAAATTATATAAAAGACTTTGATCAATTCACTCTAGTTTAAGATAAATAATAGCGGCGTTTATATACACACATTTGATTTAGGCTCTGATTACTTTAATTTTTCTAAATTCTAATTACATTTAAAAAAAAAAATCCACTTTCAAATTCTTAATGGGAGCTGAAATATTCATTGACTGCATTTGAAGTATTTTGTTTGCCAGAAAAAAATGGTTCAAAGAAAAAAGGTATCTGTTTGTCCGATTACGGTAATTTAGTGAAACAAAACTAAGTGCGTAACCATTTCATCATTAGTGTTCTTATGTTTGTGATTTTGGGAAAATATATAGTTTTTGTAGATTAATAAGAAATGTACGAAAAGTTGGTAAATAATCAATGGCAATGTAAGAGAATAGATTAACCGTTGATACAAGATAACAAAAGTCTATATAAGCCGCACAAGTCTCAACTCTCTGTGTCACAAACATACAAAGAAGTAATAATACAAAAGACATGTCATCAACTCTCGAAAACACTATTCCAGTAAACGGCGATTCCTCATCCTCTATCGTTCGTGCTTCCGTCGTTCAGGCCTCCACAGTTTATAATGATACTCCCAAAACTATTGGTAAGTATTTCCCTGGGGAATACTTTTTATTTTTGTAAAGAGTTTCGTTTGTTTTTGGTATGATTTGTAAAGCGTTTCTTGATAAAATACATGAGCCGAAAAAGTTTAAGTGCCCCTCTCTAAATGAAGTCTGACAAAATTTATCAAATGGTTTATTTGAATTTGCAGAAAAGGCGGAGAAATTGATTGCGGAGGCCGCTAGCGGCGGATCGAAGCTGGTGGTATTCCCGGAAGCGTTTATCGGTGGCTATCCTCGTGGATATAGGTTCGGTATAGCGGTTGGTATTCATAATGAAGAAGGTCGTGATTGTTTCCGCAAGTATCATGCTTCTGCCATTCAAGTTCCTGGTAAGAGAAACTTCAATCATTTTTCTTTTTGTCGGCAAGAGACTTTCAATTTTTGGAAGATCTTTCTTTGATCTTTTGTCTTTTCAAAGATCTATTTACGTTCATGCCTGTTTTCACAATGAAAAGAAACAATTCTTATTCTTTAAAATATAATATTTCTCTAATTTTTCAAAAAAAAAAATTCATTTCTTTAACTTTGTAAAATCGAATTTATTTTTAGTTGTATTCTAGAAGGCCAGATTTACAAGAAAATATCACACGTTAAATAGGGATGGATATTCGGATATCTTGATTTTTCTCCACCTCTGGTTTTAATTTGGTTGGCTATAGTTGGGCAATAAAATTATATGTAGAACAAATTAAACTTAAATTTTCAGGCAAACACATGTTTGATTTCTGATCGTTGTATGTTTGGATTAAAACTTGTTGGAAGAAACATCTGATTAGTGATTAGTGATTAGTGATTAGTAAATGGTGAGTAACGAGTGTACCAAATCTTAATATTCATTTGCAATTGTGACAAATGGATAGATAGACTGAATTGTTAAACGCAAATCAAAAGGCTAGTTCTACTTCAATTGAGTCACAAATAACTCTTTCTTGCACATTTGTGTTGGCTTAGGCCTTGAAGTAGAAAAACTGGCAGATGTGGCTAGGAAATACAATGTGTACTTGGTCATGGGGGTTATAGAGAAGGATGGATATACACTGTACTGCACAGCTCTTTTTTTCAGTTCTGAAGGTCGGTTCTTGGGCAAGCACCGTAAAGTCATGCCTACATCTTTTGAACGTTGCATTTGGGGTTTCGGGGATGGATCAACCATCCCTGTTTATGACACACCCTTAGGCAAACTTGGTGCTGCTATTTGCTGGGAAAATAGGATGCCTCTTTTCAGGACTGCGTTATATGGAAAAGGTTAGTACTAAATTTTGTTGTTCGTGTGCTTAAACTCAAAACCAGTTGATAATAAAAGTGATTCATGACTTTTATAATACATAACTTTTTGTTAGTGTAGTATATAACTTTTTACAGATGGTATAATTCTTGTAATGCATCTACAATTGAATCTCATTTTAGGATCGTCAACTTATCTATATAATACAACCTAGACTCTAATAGACTAAACATATGTCAATATATTCCAATTTAGAACTAATTTGCCATGAGTGAAATTAATGAGCCATTTCTAACTTTTATTGTAAGACTTGACAATTTTGTTTTTGGACTTTAGGTGTGGAATTGTATTGTGCACCTACTGCTGATCCATCAAAAGAATGGCAATCTTCTATGCTTCATATTGCACTTGAAGGTGGTTGTTTTGTGTTGTCGGGTTGCCAATTCTGCATGCGTAAAGATTTTCCTGATCATGCTGATTACTCGTTTACCGACTGGTATGATGACCAAGAACAAAATTCTATTGTTTCACAAGGTGGTAGTGTCATCATTTCACCATTGGGAAAGGTTCTCGCTGGACCTAACTTTGATTCAGAGGGTCTCATCACCGCTGATCTTGGTATGTACATTTTTCTTTGATATTCATTTTAGGCTTTTACTACATAAAATGATAATTTATAAAAGAATTCTTCTCATCCAGATCTTGGTGATATCGCAAGAGCCAAGTTATACTTCGATGTGGTTGGACATTACTCAAGGCCAGATATATTTAACTTGACAGTAAATGAGCATCCAAAAAAACCAGTTACGTTCATGTCAAAGTCGGTGAAAACAGAGGATAACTCAGAGTCTCAAGAAAAATAAACAAGATTTAAAGTCGTACAATTTATTCTCTATGGAACTAATGGAGTTAATGCAAGTCATATGGTATCGTCACTTTGAAATTATCGTATTAGGCTTGTTTATCTTTATTTTCAATAATGATAGAGAACAAGTTGGATTAAATTAGACATGCTGTTTGATAAAACCAATTAGTAATCATCACTTGATTATTCAATGCGTGTCATCGGTCTCTTTTTCAATATTCATAAACGAATCACCAAGAGGCTATATCAAACCGAGTATATGAATAAAGTAAGAGGATCCAATATCACCTTATCTCTTTTATTCTTTGGAGTGAAATTCTCTTAAAACTGTCACAAGACTCAACTTAGAGGGAAGCTCCAAGGCATTAGAGTGTCACTAAATAGCCCTTAGGTGAATTATTTTCTGTTTGCAGATGACACCATTTTTTTCTACAAAACAAACAAAAAGAATTGTGAGGAACTGATGAGGGTCCTGGAGCATACGAACTGGTCTCATGCAAGTGATAAACCTGCAAAAATAATCATTTTCCATCTCAAGGAGGATGCCTTAATTCAAGCGGAACCAAACAAAATAGATCCTAAAAATTGAGAAAGAGAACACTTAAGCCGGAAAAAAATGAGACCTCATCATTCCTATAGTGGACCGTATTAGACAAAAAGCTGCTGACCATCCTATCAGCAGTATGAAAAATGGTGATGTTGAAGAGTGATTTATCTGGTATTCCCACTTATGCAATGTCCTGTTTCAAACTACGTTAATTCATGTGCAGGCGTATTCTGTCAGCCCTAACACGGTTTTGGTGGGATACGACATCTGACAAAAGAAAAAATTAGTTGAATTGCTTGGGAAAAGTTAGTTGTAGCTGGGTTTTTACACACTTCACAAATAAATTAATCCCCCAAAACTACTCGTATCTTGTAGCATTTAAGGTATCGAATCCACATAGACCAAATAATTGCAACATTAGAGATGCAGGATTCAAGCTAAGCTAGAGCGAATCATGTTTTTGGGTTTTTGTTTGTTTAATCTAAAAGGAAAGAAAATTCAAGAAGAAAAACAAAAGTAAAACATGGGATCATGAGTAGAACCATCATAAGATTATGGTAACAATCACAAATAATGAAGAATATTGGGTTAAGCACCATCCTAGAACATGAAGTTCACTATTTTGATTAATCCACTTTCATAGCAGTAATTATTTTGCTAATTACCAAATCTAGAACTTTTTGATATTAGTGAAAAGATAATAACCAAGCATAAATAAACAACTTCAGTTAGTTCACTAAACACCCTAGGCATCAATTGTCATTAGCTAAGTATGCAAAGTTTATTAAAAGTTTGGTTCAAACATTTCATCAAACACCTTGTGGACATGGAAATAGCCTAAGGTCCATATGACTTTTTTTAAAGCTAATCTAGCATTATAAGCAACCTAAATGAAGGATCTAACAAGATGCAACCTAGATCATCATCATCTAACAATCAATTCATCATATTCTAGCAAAACCAATGTTTCATAAAAAGGTAAAAGGCTAAGCATGAAGAAAAGCAAAATAAAAGACATAAGCATAAATATAATTGATAGAAGGTCCTTTACTAGGGTGGCACGATTCATGAAGATCAACCCAAAGAATCTATAAAAAGAGAGTTTGAATCTAAACCAAATCTAGAGAGAAGAAAACTTTGGTTATTTTGTCGCTACAAAAAATATTTAGAGTAAGAGTAAGGAAACCCGGGTCAACCTGGAACAAACCGGCTTTGATCCAGATTAGGTCTGGATCGTGGTCTGGCGCTGCCTTGTCTGTGCGCTGACAAGTAGGATAATAAATGAACCAAGCTCCTACTAAAGTCATATGTAGTATAAGGATGGGTTTTTGTCAAATCCAGAAGAGTCAAGATAGATGCATTAGGAATATATGAAACTAAGTAAGCTAATTGAAATGTGGAAAGAAGTTATCTAACAACCTAAGTGATTACCAAACGCAAGAACAAGGGAAAACAAAAGCTTAACACATGATAAGCAAAAACTAAGCAAGACGAAACTAAACAAAGCAAGAAAAGAAGACACAAGCTTCAACTTAGATAAACAAATAACAAAAGAGGTTCCTAGGATGAGATAAATGATCTATGATGAATATGGTCAATTAATGATGGCTTCAATCAACATCTATACTTTGAGTATTATATGGTAATCCTTAGGCATATGTTCACGGAAAGACTAATCCACTCTCGTGATAGAAGTCCCTTTGCTAATCACTAAACCAAGGCTAGCTCTCGCATATTGGTCGAATGATTAGCAAGCATGGAGATCCAACCATATAAATTCGAAACACTCCCTAATAGCAATAAACTTAGGTTAGGATGAATGAATCCTTTATAAGCGATTCAGGCATTTCCACAAACATGGTGCTTACTAGGGACGCCTATGAACTTTAACCCAAGTGATCAGTTTCAATTAAGAGATAACAATAGCAAATAGAGAAGGAGTAAGAACATTAAACAAATAAGCATCAGTATCCATCACCATAAATCTATCATCCTTGAAAACCACGAAATTACTACTTCTTAATCATGCTTAAAACTACTAATCCTATAAATGAAGAATGGTTAAACATTATTAATAAAAAGAGATTTTAAGAGAAAAGAAAATAAAGGCCTAAAGAACTAAATATGAAAATAGAACTTAAAGCCTAAAAATGATTAACCACATAATCCCTAAGGAAAATGTGGTTAAACATGAAACAGAAATCATAAACAAGAAATATTAAGAGAAGTGCAAAAAATAAATTAAAACTTAATTATATACAAGATGTGTTCTTGAAATAAAAATAAAATTAAGAACAAGAGAAGAGTTTTTGGATCTAAAAATGGGTTCTAGAGGCTAAGGGTTTCGGACAAGCGAGTATATATAGGAAACCAAGGGAATCCCTAGGGTGTTGTACCCCACTAGCCTTTTTGTCATCTTCTCGGACGGGTTGCAACTATCTCAGGGAAGCGGGTCAGATCCGCCCTGCTGTGAGTTTGGATTATTTTTATCTAAAAAAAACACTCGTTAGATCCGTGAATTGTAGATCTGAAACCCGCACCGCCCCGTATTAATCAAGCGGGTTTTGCGGATAATCCGCTCGACTTTGGTTTCTTTTTTTTTATCAATCATGAAAAATTTGCACAGAGATAGAAAACGAGATAGAGAGAAAGATAGATGGATTATTGCAGAGATAGATTTGGTTTACAGATGATTGAATCATAGATCTAAACTTGAAATTGAAAGATGATTGAGAGATGAGAGAGAAAATGAAAGAAAAAAGAAAAAAATAAGGTTGAAGATGCGTAAGAGAAGAAGAAAATAGAAGAGACATTAGGGTTTTTTGTTTTGATTTAAAAGAAAAAACGATCTATTTCTCCACCAAAAGTATCATATAGCATCATATGTTCCTCAAACCATGCTTCTTTCTATATATACCGAAATTTAAAGTTAAAGATCCAGATCTCCCCGATATTAGAGTTACAAACTTGTATCCACACGAAATTAGAATCCACTACATATTATTTGAGAAGTAACATTATTGAAAATAGCTGACTTGTCAACACTACAACAAAAGTTAGTGCTTTTAATTAATGACATGTAAATGTGACATGTCAACCTTCCTAAAATAAATCAAATGTTTTGATTATTTGAATTAAAATTAAAGAACTTGTGGAATTAAAACATAAAAACACTAGATTATACTTATAACACTAAAATTAATAAATTTTAAATTAACAGAAAAAATTATTATTATGATTTTAATATTTTATATATATTCATAATTTCATAAAATATAATTCAAAATGTTTTCAACAAAAACAATATATATATATATATATATATATGAAATCGAAAAAATAATAGTAATTATCCAATAGAATAGTAAAGCTTTTATATATTAATAATGTTTGAATTATGATATATTTTTATTTTGGAAAGTTATTAATTTAAAAAATATATTAATAACATCTAAACAAGTTTTAAATAAACAAACTGTTAAATAATACAATTTCAAATAAATTACAATCATGATAAAAATAATTTAAAGAAAAAAATGTTAAAAATAATTAAAAAATAATTAACTTTTATTGAAATTTTTAAAAAAACGTAATTTAAAATAAATTTTCTTTTCAAACCAATATTTACTAAATGAATAAAGTATATAATAATTATTATTTTATGATATAAATAGGACCATATATTTTTATAAAACTTTTATCACATTTTTATTGTTGTTTTCTAAAATATACATAACTTATGTTACCATCTCATCTTATCTCTTATCATATTTTAAATAAAAATAATTATATCATATTTATATATATATATTCGTAATTTTTTATTGTATATCAAAAATTTGAGATCATAAATGAAATAAAAAATAACCAAACGAAATAATAAATTAAAATAAGATGAAATAAATATGAATAAGATTTAAAAATAGAAGTGTATAAAAATAAATCTCTCGCACTTTATTTTACAAAGTCACGTAAAAACTCTTTAACATGTAAGAGCCATATTTCGACTTTTTAAAAAATACGCGTACAGACATAAATATTAAATGTGCTTTAGTAGAAGTCACATGAACTTTTTCGTGCATGTTAGAATTTGTTAAGCTTGATTACAGTCTAATTTATATTATAATTTTCATAGTACAATTTATTTATTTTTTTTTAAATCTTTATCTATTCTAAGTGTAGTGAGGTGGTTGGTACCCCCACACATGCATGTCAACTATCTATCCGCTCTTAGGATAAGTGAAAACGGTAAAAAATATTTCAGTTTAATTTGCAATAAATGAAAAATACTTAAAAATATATTATATACGTATTTCAAATTCATATTATGTAAGACGTAAAAAATTATTGTAGATTGTGTAAGGTAAAATAAAATATATTATAAATAATACTCAAAAAATATTATAAGAATTTAATTATTATTTAATATAACTTTTATATTTTTGATTATA